CGATTTAGCTGAGCTAGAGTGGCTATCGAATTTCGTTGAAGAATCATTTTCGACCGAGGACAAAAACACAACACAACGAGCACATAACCATCTAAAACAGACAAATATGTAAAGGAATCATTTTCGAAAGGAAGAAGACGAACCTAGAATGGCCGTTCACAGTCGCTCACAGCCGCTCGTCACTCGTCGTTCACCGTCGCGGCTGCTCGTCACTCCGGCGAAGGCTGTCGTTCAATGATTTTGATTTGAGGATTTTGGGGATCAGTCGATTGGGATTTGGGGGATTTTAGGGATTTCGGTTTCAGGGATTTTGATTTGAGGAATTTGGGGATTTTAGGGACTTCAACCGCGAATGGGATAGAAATAGCGGGATAAACCAAATATTCATTTATTTGCGACGGTATATTTTAACCGTCGCAAATGATCATGATTAACGAATGAAACGACGTCGTTTTATCCTTCGTTTTTGGCGATGGGCTTCTGCCGTCACAAATGGTCCACCATTTGCGACGGTAACTTCTTACCGTCGCTAAAGAACACTTTTGCGACGGTATACCGTGCGTCGCCAATGTTTTTGGAATTTTCTTTTTACAATCTTTAGCAACGGAATCATCCCCGTCGCAAAAGTCCAATTTTTTATCGACGGCAAACACACCCTGTCGCAAAAAACTTCTTTGGCGACAGCAAACACACCCCGTTGCAAAAAACCATTTTTTGCGACGGCAGTCACCCCGTCGCAAAAAACCTCCGTGTTATTTGCCTGATTTTCTTGTAGTGAATGCTAACATACTCCATGTTCAAAATACCATCCACATTCATAATATGAATGTTCACAATAGCAACTCATAATATGAATGTTCAAAATATCATGAGGAAGAAAATGTCAACAAATTTCATAATATGAACATTCAAAAAAATCATAAATAAAACAATGACGATATTCACATTACCATAACGAGAAAAATGTCCACAGATTCCATTATGTGAACATGTGATGAAATCATAATGTACATGTGAATATTCAAAAAAACGATGATTAACACACAATGGGAATATGTACAAAACAAAATATAATCAAAAGCCAAATATAATACTTAATACAATGTGAAGATCAACAATCTAAAATATTTTACCAAGACACACATGTTGTGTATTTCACATAGCTACATAATCACTCCACCAAAATTCCACCTATGGTATTTGATGTTTTCACAACTAAAATTTGAGATTTTCAAAATTAAAGCCATATGTCCATCCACAATACAATATTTCACATTCGGTATTTATAAGCCATTGCAAATTTGACAACTAGAATTTCAACATAATACAAAACAATAATTCGAATCGATTTACGTTTGGCACCCATTTTTAACTACATGGAGTGATCAGCGAGGTCGATGTGAATGTTCTTAGCGAAAAAGTGTTTTGGTCATCAGCAGTGAAAAAGTGTTTTGGTCGTCAGCAACAAAATGTCAGAGACAAAATGATGCGAAAACGGTGTAGAGGATGGGTGGCCATTTTCAACAACTTCAGCTCACCAATAAAGTCGAATTCAAATATCAGTGAGGATTTAGGAATTTGAGAGCCAACCTTCTTATTGTGAATAGAGTCTTTGAATAAATCAAAACGCACGTCACACTCCTCTTTTTTTTTTTCCCCAATAAAAAAAGAAACAACATGTAGATAAGATGAGTGTGGCTGAGATGAGGATGCTAAGGTGGATGTGTGGTAAGACTAGACAGGACAGGATTAGGAATGAGTGTATTCGGGAATGGGTAGGAGTAGCACCGATAGGAGATAAGTTGAGAGCGAATCGTTTGAGAAGGTTTGGCCATATTCAATGAAAACCAACAGCGGCAGTAGTGAAGAGATGCGATGCTGTAACGGTAGATGGAAGTGTTAGGGGACGGGGTAGGCCTAGATTAACGTTGACTAGCGTTATAAATAGAGATATGAATCTACTTAATTTGACTAATGAAATGGCCTTTGATAGGGCCGCGTGGAGAAGAAGGATTCATGTAGCCGACCCCATTTTATGGGACTTAAGGCTTCGTTTGGTTTGGTTTGGTTTGGTTTGTGTGTAGAGGATTACTATTTGTGACTAGATATTAGGAAAATGATATTCATCAATAATCTTCATTTATTGTAACAATTTGCTGAAAAATCTGGTTCATTTACGGATGGAGTGGAGGCAGAGCCATGTGCGGCAATTCTGTTTGGCGTTCACTTCAATGTAATTGTAATTTAAAGCTTCAATTTGTTGCTCTCTCTTTCTCTCTCTATCTGTACCCATTTGGCGTTGTCTGTTGCGTCCAAGTCACAGCAACCTCTTGATTTGCCTTTTGGTCTGAAGTTTATTTTGGACGCATTCTTGTGATTTCAACATTTCATTTTATCAAATTTGTCACAATTTCATCCAAAATTATAATCAATATCCTTAAAACAAATATGATCATATAATTGTGGTGATGATCTGACAGAGGTGCGAGTGGATTATGCTCTTCTATGGTCTGTGGATTCGGCTGCATTCAAGGTTAGGAGTGTATTCTCACACTTCCACTGAATTTTGAATTGTTCATTTCTACCATTTCTGATTGATGCATTTATTTTATTTGTGTATTTATTTTCATGTTTTTAAGTCTGTTTGAATAAGTTTTTAAATTTTTTGGTCTTTCATTTCACTCAATTATTGGTGTATGTTATGAGATTTATGTGTTTTGAGATTTTTATATAATTCAATAGTTGACACTTCAGAGAGATTTTTTTAACCCATATGGATCTCCAGGGAACTGGGGGAGTGAACGTTGATAACCTGAATACATGCGTAGATTATAGTTCCAGTGCTGGAAGGAAATCCTGTGAGATTAGATATGCAATTATTGAAGTTATTGATTATAAAATTAAACTAATGTTAACTTAATATTCAAAGTTGAGCAGTCAAATTTGCCTTGTGTTGACTTATTCTGAATGAACAGAAACTAGATATGTCCATTTATCATCCTCATCTATGAATATTGTTTCATTAGCCTTTGTAATTTATGGTTTTTCTGATAGGATTTGTGAATAATGGAAACATGTCCAGGATAACCTCTTTCACAGGAAGGAAAATTAATGTTTAACAAACCTCTGCTAGTGATAGATCGACATTGTCCGTGATGGCCGATTAAGTAGGTGCTGAAAACCAACAAATTATGACACCTCAGAATTGCCACCAAAAAATTCTACTTTTCTAAGAAACTTGTTCTGAATTTGTGCTTTGGTTTGTAATGTCTCCAACTGTTTCTTTCAGCTTTAGTGAAACATGAAATGAAGTTTGATTAAATGATTGGCACTTACACAGGTTCCAAATGCATAAGAACCACGCACTGTGACAAAGGTACTAAGGTAAACCATCCAATCATGCTCCGTAGAACTACTTTTGTGGCTCTGATCTTTGGGACCATAGCCATCTTCTTCATCAGCTCGAGTCTTGTCTTCTAGTATAAGTGGCTCCCTTATCTCTTCTTGCAAGCTGTTCTCACCTTGCTCCAAAAATTAGAGAATTCAAATTTATGGTCAAGAATTTAATGGAGAATGCTAACAAAAGGTAGGCCTTTCAACTCAATTTTTTCATTCTATACTCATGCTTCCCTAATGTGACAGAAAGCAGATTGGGCAAATTTCTAGATCTGTAGGGTGGCTGGGGCAAACTTGTAGGTTCATTTATCTTTGCCCAGTTTTGTGCTTTCTAAGATAGGCCATTTGAGTTTTTTTACCACACCAGCCTGAACCTTGTGAAATTGTGAAACACTTCTAAGTATAATTTGGATAAATTCTAATTTTCTTCAGCACAGTTTTTAATAACATATTAACTTCTAAGTGGATAATATACTATTAGTTTAATAATTTTCGTTTCCTTTGCGTCCTCTCTTTATTTGGTTGTTGTCTTTACCCTTTTTGATGAGGCGTATCTATTGCATCAGACTGTTTGAACACCCACAACTGGCTCAATTGATATTGTGCAGCGGCTTTTAGGAAGTGCCTGCGTAGATTGAGTGCTCTTAATATTGATGCACTTGGCTTCCATGAATATATCTAGTTGACTTTTTAAATGAATCAGTATAGAGCTGATTTACTGACACTAGGCAAGTGAACTAGGATGGGCTTTGATTTTGTTGAAATCATTGCTTGGGAAACTATGCACAAGAATTCTACAGGGATTAGAAACTTTGATCATAAAAGCATGGATAACCATTATGTTTGTGTCACCTTGATGACTATTAATGAGCCCTAGGTTGATGATGTTAGTACCTCAGACATCTTGTTCGTCTATTTCTTTAATTTATGCCAGTACTTTTAATATACTTGACATTTACTATTGGACAGGATTTTGTTCTGTGATGAAAGCCAGGATGCACCACACTATGAAGTCCTTGCCAAGTTTGTTTTTCAATTCTTGTTGTAATGAAAGTTCTAAATTTATCACAGCATTTTTAGTTTTGCAATGTTGGGAGGTGTTAAGATGTCTTGATATCCATTATGATGGTTTCCTAATCATGGACGCAACCTGAATATTCCCATGGAAAGAACTATTGAGAAGCTTATAATTTATTGTTTGCACCTTATAGGAATATTTAGATGCTATGTAACATTTGAAAAATGCAGTACAATCTCTTAACGGCTTTTAACTGTTAAGACCTACATTTTTTACTCACTGTTAATTTTATTTCTTTCTCAGTTTTTTCTTTCCTTTTTTCGGGTGGGATGAGAGGTTTTAAGAGTTTTTTTATATTCATTATTTTGGTTTTCTAATCATAGAGGCAACCTGAATACTCCCATCCCATGGAAAAGAACTATTGAGAAGCTTATAATTTCTTGCTTGCATCTTATAGGAATATTGTAGATGCTATGCTGGTGGACTGTTTGTTGTGTACTTTGCTCTGCTGCAACAGGTAGCAGCATAAGAGATATTCAGTTGATTGCATGACCTTTCATCCTCTATATTTGATCCTCGCTGTCAACTTTTGCTTATGCATATCTCAGTGACTATTTTTTTGAAGTGATTCACTTATTCTTTTGAACAGGTTCCTCTTACTAATGAATTCATTACTAATGGTGCTCCTCTTGCCAGGTTACATATCCAACATCTCGTCAACATGCCACTTGGTCCTTGGATGACTTGCCAAGAACAGTAGCTTGTACCATGCATCAAGGATCTGCTGTTAACAGCATGGATTTTCATCCTTCTCATCACACATTGCTTCTTGGTATGATGGTCTTTGATCAATGATTTGAACATACCACCTATGATTTCAATGGTTGAGCTCCTGCTATATAAATATACGAGTTCTTCCTTTTCTTTCCCTTATTTGATGTAGATTCTCTTTTAAACAGTTGGTTTTGCTACTGGTGAAATAACGCTCTGGGAAGTGGGGATGCGATATAAATTGGTTTCAAAGCCATTCAAGATATGGGACATGGCAAATTGTTATATGCTGCTTCAGGTTCCTTTTCTTCCTTTTCTTTCCTTGTTGCTTGTTATCTTAGCATTCTATGATGTGATATATACCTATGATATGAGATATCTATGGAGGTTGTAAACAGCATGTACAAATTAATTGTGACCAGATTATTTCTTGTTTGATTTGGGGACATTTATAATACTAATCTTCAACTAGCCGTTGTCAAATATTATTTTATTTTATTTTTTTTTAAATTCCCATTTGGAATGTTGAGATCAAAGTGATAATTTGGAAAAGAAGTCTCCAATTGATGTTAACATGTAGGAACCCTAATCTTTGTGTGTTGGACATTTATAATACTAATCTTCTGTAAGTTGTTGAGTTTGCCTTAGCTTTGCAGGAAGTTGGGTGCTTGTTTGTTGTTCTAAAATGTGTGCTTGTTGTTGTTGTTGTTGTTGTTGTTGTTGCTGTTGCTGTTGTTGTTGCTACTGCTACTGCTACTACTGCTGCTGCAACTGCAACATCTGCTCTTCGAATCCTTACCATTGGTATTGGGACAGGGACTTTCTGTAGTGGCCAAGTTAATTGATTCTTTAGCTTTCTCTGGTACTCTTAATAATGAATTAGACTTGACTGCTTGTGTTTTATATAATCTTTTTGCTTTCATTTATACAGATAATTTGCTATTTGATCTTGTAATTTGCTTTTAAAGTACTAAAATGGGCATTTTAATGATATTGTGTGTTCATATATTGAGCTTATACATATAATAAACTTTGAATTTGCTCTCTCTCTCTCTCTCTCTATATATATATATATATTAAAAATAATCTTCTACGGCATATAAAATTATGTCATGAAAAGTGTAATAATTTATGACATGTAAGAAAATGCCGTAAAAGATTATATACAACATACAAAGTATTCCATAAATATATTAAAAATAACCTTCTACGGCATACAAAATTATGCCGTGAAAAGTGATGATTTATGACATGCAAGAAAATGTTATAAAATATTATATACGGCATACAAAATATGCTATAAATATATTAAAAATAACATTCTACGAGATGCAAAATTATGCCATGGAAAGAATGATAATTTATGGCATGATAAAAATGTCGTAAAAAATTATATACGACATACAAAGTATGTCATTGATGTTTTATTTATTAATTTTTACAACTTTATCTCCATGCCATAAAGGATGCTCAACTTTTCCCGGCATGTCATATAACGGCATTTGTGTGCATGCCGTGAAAAAGTTTTTACGACATACATTCTAAGTCATAAAAATTTAATTTTGTTGTAGTGAGAATTTTCACTTTTGGCAACTAAATTTTTTGTCGTCGAAAGTTAATTTTTAGTCGCCGAAGGATTTTAGCGACTAAATTATTTGGTTGCAGAAGTAGTCATCGAAGAGTTGTCGGTAAAGCTACCAAATGTATTCAATTTCCGACTAAATTTTTAGTCACCAAAAGGTTGAACATAAAATTAAATTAGTACATTTTCGGCGACGAAACTTTTAGTGGCCTAAAGTATCACATTTTTAGTTACTAAAAATTTAGTTGGCAAAGAGTTTTTGTTTTAGCTACTAAATATTTGGCCGTCTAAAGTCTCACATTTTTTGCTACTAAAATTTTAATCGACAAAAAGTTCATGTTTTGGCTACTAAATAATTGGACCACCACCACCATTAGCTCTTATGATCTTGGGTTCAAAATTTTTTCGGTGCAAACAATTTATTGGACTTAGTCTGTATAGGATTTTGTCTTGATTTTAATTGAACACTTTGCTAGTGAACGATAGAATTATTTCTATAGATTAATCGTTCTATTGAACCAGATACCGAATTATCAAAAAAACAAAGAGCTGCTCTCATGGTTTGTTCTCTATGCACAACACACTGACATACATACACAAATATATACTATTATATAAAATCCATACTTGAATTTGTGTAGATATGTCACTTTAAAAAATAAAAATAAAAATAAATAAATAAATACTCATAAACAGTAATACCATAGATTTAAAATAAAACTAAAAATAAAAAGAACTCTCAATTGCGTTGATTATAAATTTTATAATCCACATGACTTTTTAATGGGGTATTTTTTTTAAGGTCCCTGATATTATGATTTTATATTATAAAAGACATCAAATATTTTCATGATGTCTAAGATCCCTCAACATCAATTCAGAGAAAATTGGTCCAGAGAAAATTCAAGTCAGAGAAAATTGAAATTTCTCTAGACTTCCCTAAACTTCCTAAATTTCTCTGCCCTTTTTTTTTTTGAACATAAGAATTTCCCTACCTCAACTCACTTCCTTGCTTCTCAAAGGTGAGGAAGAAAGACAACTTCTCTTACTGAGGAGCTTTCAAAAAAACAGATGCAGAGAGGTGTTTGGTCCAGGCCATGAATACGAAGCAGTGATAATGGAACAAATTTATGTAGTTCATCTATCGTATCCGTTATCATGAACCCAAAGAAATTTGAATTTTCTCTGGGTTGAGAAAATTCAAATTTCTCTGGGTTGAATCCAGAAAAATTTGAGAAATTCTTGCTTTCACTTAGCCTTCTCTTGCATGGAAGTGTTGGATGATCTTGAGAAATATAAGTTCGATTTGAAGTTGGGTTCTAAAGTGAGATTCGTCATGAGCCTTATACCTCGGTGCATCATCAGGAAAGAGAAGGTTCTAATCTTCTGCCACAACATTGCTCCGATTAATCTATTTCTAGAGATATTCGATGACATGGAAAAAGTGGGTGTTGAGCATGATTTTCAGCGAGGAGCATATGGAGGACCCATCCCAATGGCAAGCAGAGAAAATTGAAGACGATATCTTGAGAGAGATCGTATGTGGGGTCTGGCTACGTCAATCATCGTTGAAAATGGAGTCGGCGAATTGCAGACTGTAGCGCCTCCTCCACCTGATCTGCCGCCGGACAGGCCACCTCATCGCTTCCGTCCACGGCTGCGGCAGCTGTGGGGAGATTCGGAATGAGCCAGCATTCAAGCATGTGGAGGGCGTTGAGTCAGTCAGAATCGGAGTCTGAAGTGAGTTGGAGCTCGGCGAGGTGGAAGAGTTCTGGAGGCGGTGGTTGTGGGTAAGAATGGCGGTGGGTTTGAGGTGGTGATGGGTCAGATTCCAGTGGTGGTGGTGGTGGTGGTGGTGGGTGAGAGTGGTGTGAGATCGGTGAGTTTGGGAGTGGGAATCTCCACTGGGTAAAGCTTGGGAAGTGTTGGAAGATGAGGACTTAGAGTCGGGTTGTTGGGGTGGCGGTGGGTCAGATGATGAAGATAGTATAAAGGATTGAAATTTCTCTGATATATGTTTAGGGATCTTAGAAATCAAAAAATAATTTTGTGGATCTCTTCCATTACGAAAAGTAGGAGAAGGACCCTAGACCAATTTTCCCTTTTTTAATTGCGCACGGTAGTTATTATATAATCTAACACAAAAAACCACCACATGGTGGGCACAAAGTGATTTAACCGGAAACTTCTGCATTTGCATAAATTAGTGATTTAATGTATACAAATGCGTAACGCTCACTAGTTTCCAAGCAACAAAAAAGAGAGAAAATGGTGGGAAGCATATTCCATGAAGTCGATAAAAAAAACTATTTCATTCCGTCAATGTTTCATAATGCAAATAGAAAATTAATCTAGCATACATGTAGCACATCAATGGCCTACTTTTTTCTTTTTGCTTTTTTTTTTTTTAATTTTTAGTTTTTATAATTAGGTGTCCAGACCAGTTTATGTACATTTCGATTATACAGGCGTCCTATTTAAAATCAGAACAAACATCCTGTACAGACTAGTCCCAAAAAACTTATTACAGCTAGTGAGTATTGAACCTAGGATTTAAAAGGAGCACATCCCCAAATCTCAAATTGTACTCATTAGGCCAATCCCTTGAAATTCATATCAATGGCCTACTTGTGCTCTTAAAATATTATAGCCACCATGTGAGGCAAACCTTTTTGAGGAACAATTGAATCTCAATCATTATTATTTTATGATCAGATACAATGTATATTTATACAGATGCCATGTAACAAACTCCTAACAAACCATAACAAACTCTAACTACTAACTAACTTGAGTTAACAAACTCTAATCACTAACTAACTTGGGTTTAACAAACTAACTACTTAACTAACTATCTTGAGCTTGATACAGAGTGAGCTGGTGTAGGACTTGATAAGTTAGCTACTAATGCTGAGGGAGTCTTATCATCCCCCTGCAAGCTGATGGGAGGAGAAGTGACCAGTAGCTTGGACTGAAGATACTGAAACCGAGCAGCAGACAGTGGTTTGGTGAAGACATCTACAATTTCCTCAGCAGAGGGTATGTAGTGAAGAAGAAGCTTCTTGGAAGCAATTTTGTCTCGAATGAAGTGACAATCAACTTCGATATGTTTGGACCTTGTGTGAAACACAGGATTTGAAGCTAAGGTAATGGCAGATAAGTTATCATACCAAAGAATAGGAGTGGTTACAAGAGGTAGAGAAAGATCATGAAGGAGTATTTGTAACCAACCAAGTTCAGCCGTAGCATGAGCAAGAGAACGATACTCAGCTTCTGTGCTTGATCTGGAGACTGTATGCTGCTTTTTAGCAGACCAAGAGATGATGTTAGAACCAAGGAAAACACAATATCCAGAGGTAGATTTGCGATCAACAGTGTCACCGGCCCAATTCGAATCAGAAAAGGCCTGGAGCTCAAACGAACTAGGACAAAAAGTCAAGCCATGAGAAAGTGAACTCTGAACAAACCGAAGAATGCATTTGAGCAGAGCAAAGTGAGCATTAGTGGGTTCATGCATGTATTGACAAGCTTGATTGACAGCGAAGGACAAATTTGGACGAGTAAGAGTTAGATACTGTAAAGCACCTACTAAACTTCTATATAACTGAGCCTGATGAAATGGAAGATTAGCAGCAGGAGTATCAACAGGTTTCATGGACATAGGAGTAGGACATGGTTTACAAGAGGTCATCCCAGCTTTAATAAGAATGTTAGAAGCATACTTAGATTGAGACAAAAAATAAGAGTCACCCACTACTTGAATAGAAATACCCAAGAAATAAGAAAGATCACCCAATTCCTTCATGGCAAAAGCAGAGTGCATCTGTTGAATGAGAGCGTGAAGATGAGAGGGACTATTGCCAGTAAGTAAAATATCGTCTACGTACAC